ATTATATATATATATATATATATATTCATACGTGCGTCTTTAAAAATAACTTATGTCAACCCCCTCACTGCTATGAAACCACTTACTTATATGAAAATAACTTCTATTTATAAGTTCAATGCGTAAAGAATCAGTCACCCCAAGCTAAATGCCAGCTAATAACGCGTAACGTTGAAGCTAATTTGAGTAAAACAGCTGCAATAGAAACGAAATAGCTCCGATTGGGAGGAAAATTCAATCATCTTTAGGCTAAGAATAAACAAAAACTGCATCATAAAATTTAATCTTTTGAATAAAAACCAATGGAAAATAAGAGTTTCAGATACTTTTAATTGTAAGTCTATAAAATTATTTGCATGCGATGTATAATGATTATAATGTTATAACGTTTCACAGCTCATGATACAAATTATTCGCAATATTTTGAAGCGTTTTGTGACATGATTTCATAAACTAATGAGTTGCTACAAAAGTCGAGAAAAAATAGTGATAATTATCCAAAATTATATTTGCTCTGGTATAATACAATTGTAAATTCATTTATCTTGGATTATATCTTATCCCCTGTAGCATAATACGTAAATTAAACATACATTTGTGAGAAATCGGTACAGTCAATACGTTTTATACGTAAATTTTACGTAATATTGATGAAATCGTAAAAAAAGTATTTTGGTAAAGGTATATAGTATTCGGTAAAAAAGCTTTGGTATATTTTACCTAATATTAACGCAATGGATTTTATTAACTACCCTTCGGTAAGATTGTTTTAACATATTTTACGAAAGATAGACGAAAGAATATTTACCATTTAGATTTAGTAAAAATAACTCTGTATATTTTACGTATTATTGACGAAGCAAATTTACCATTTAAATTTTGGTACGAATTTATTGACACATATTTTCTGTTTTTTGGCTAACCACTTTTTTTTATAATTCGACGTTTAAACTTACGAAACTTTTACGAATGTTCAATAAAATTTAAAGGTGAAATATCCGTATTTCTGACGTAAAATTGATGATTCCCTGTTGACACGAATGTATCTTATGTTATGTTTATCATATGTATCTTTATAGTGTGTTTTACTTCATCGAGAAAATCTTAGAGTTATTTAATGTCAAAAAGTGTTTTTCAATAAATTATTCAGTTTAGTGAAAACCAGTTATTTGTGGTATAGCAATTATAAGATTTTATGTTGAGTGTTTTTGGTCGAAATCAAAGAATTGGGTGGATGTCAACAAAGAAACCGGTGAATGTCAACAACCACAAATTTCCCTCATTCACAGTAACAGAGATATCATACAATAATCAAACAGAGATATCATGCAATCGTGACAGCCCGTAGATGGTCAAGGCCTACTGTGCCCATCTCAGTTTTCTTGACATTGGGCTCATGGGTGCAGGAGCAGATGTTCCGGTTGGGTGGTCAGCCGAACCTGGATCCCCTAGTCCTCAAGCACGCTTGGTATTCATTTTATCGACCCGCTGAAATGATGAAGGGTGGAAACAACCTCTGCTCGGCCCGAGGATCAAACCCAGGACCTGTGGCTCGAGAATTCGAAAATTTGGAGCAAAGTTGCTTCAAATAATAAAATTTTTGCTTTAAGCTTGGTTAGCAGTTAATTTTGTTACGTTGCAAAATTAAAAGATGACTAGTTGTCTATTTATCGGCAAATTAATATTTCTGGTACTTACAGCAACGTCTTCGCTGTCGTCTGAAATGTCACTGATGTGAAAAGCTTCTTCTTCCACATCGTCCTCCCTGTCAGTGCCCCATCTCTGATCATATCCCATTGGACTGGGAGGCCTACTGCCTTTCACTCTGTCCACATCCCGCCTGGTGGCTCTGGGGGGCATCTGGCCTGGAATGTTGGGTATGGGTGGTGACTTCTCTCCTCCCATACGTTGGTGGCCGACCAGAGGGTCCCGGATCGAAACCCTACGGTCCTTGCCGGCTACCATGTCCGGAGATGTGGGAGGTAAAGGGTTGATAGGATCTTTATGGGGGGCCGCTGGGCCAACAGTAGTTGAAGTTTTGGTGGCCCTGCTGCAGCCGCTACCCATGCATTGGCACACGATTTACGGGTACTCCATTCCTAAAAAAACGAAAAATTAAATGAATTTAAAAACAATATTTACATTAAATATTTAATGAGGTTAAACAGAATTTGATCCTGTTTTTCAATGATATGTATTGTAAGGAGCTCTTTTTTAATCTTCTATGCCTTAAGTAATTCTAATGTGCTCTTAAACGACGCCATAAGCATGTCGAAGAAAAAGATAAATATAGTTCTCCATAAAAGTTTAAAGTGGCTACCAGAGTAGCTTAAGAAAAAGCTGTTTAACAATTTTAAAACGGCGGAATTTAACTTTTGAATCTTTGCTATTACATTCCATAGATTTAATTCCTATTTCTTTAATTAGAAAAAAAGCAACTTTTCATTTTATGTCTGTCATTGAATAGCTCAACCATGTTGGATTTGTTGTTACTAATATTCAACTCCAAATCTTTGATATTGTGAACCCAATCTGAAAGACAAAACTCCATCAAACATTGGGTTGAGCTGTAGTGGCTCAGGGAATAGGACATTCGTCTTCCAATGAGGTGAGCCAGGTTCAAATCCCAGCGATGGCTGATCGATACGAATTCCGCAACCGACTTGCACGGACCACAGTGATCACATAAAATATCCTCAGTAGTAGACGGATCATGGGTTAGAGTCCCCGAGCAGTCAGATGAACCGTGGGAGATTTTTATGGCTTTCCTCACCATGTAACGCAAATTCGGATTACTTCCATCAAAAAGACCACCACGAAGACAACATTTCTCCCAATACTTCATCGAGGAGTTCCCTTGTCTTCTGGAGTGGGTTCAAAATTACAAAGCTACGGAGTTGAACATTTGTAGTCGCAAATCCAAAAATATGATATTTTTCGAATCTCATTTCTGAATTCCTACATTTTGAGGAATTAAAAACTGTTAAACTTAATATAATTGACATCATATTTTGCGTAACATAATAATTTTTTAATCTTATTTCTAAATTCTTTCATTTTGAGGAATTAAGATTTGTTAAACTTAATATAATTTACTTCATACTTTGCGCAACATGATAATTTAAGAATCTCATTTCCGGATTTTTACATCTTCAGTTAGTAAAATTATTACAGCAATTCTTTTGCTTCAAATTTAATAAAAGAGACAAATCCACCATAAAATTTTTGAACCGGATATAAAAGTGGTGACTCTTTTTATACGTGTGTAATAACATGAAACGAATTTTAAAAATTTATCAAAAAATAACTTACACCCATACAGCAGGTTCTCCAACAAAACGAAGTCTGTTTTCAAATACGATGAAAGGAGAATTATGAATTTATTTCATAATTTCCTATTCTGAGATCATTTTCTTTTCAAGCAAAATATTATTCTTCAACTCTCCTTAAAAATGAATGAAAAACGATAATATTTTAATGAGACGAAAGATCTCCGGAATTTTTCATTCAACGTTGCCAAGGTCTCATTTTAAAACAAAAGACTGTTCGTCATCTTTTTCTTGATGGCTCCACCCAAAAAAAATTTTTTGATGAAAAAGATTCATAAGTTAGTTCTATTATCTCACAGTTTAGGAAGATCGGGGTTTTTCGATAGAAGTAATCAAAAGTTTCATTCTCCCACTCTGTCATTACAGAACATTTTTTTTTTTAACCTTTTGAGGGCAGATGTTTTCAACTCGATGACAGTTCTCTGTCATTGTCAAATAGATGGCACAGACCTAATTCTCGATCACGGCTGGTCAAAATATCATAAACTAAAAAGTAGCTTTATGTGCCGTCCTTCCACCATTTTGAAAGGGGAGGGGATGTGATCCTCGATCACGTAAGGTCCCTGGTGAAATATTATTTAGTTTAATGATCCACCGCCAAGATAAAAGCAATAATTTTTTGGCGATATTTCGAAGGGAAGAAATATTTCCTTATTCTGTTTTGACTATTAAGCAAAATTGAGAGACATGTGCTTTTAAGCAGTTTTTAAGTCGATTTTTTCTTATTAGCAGTTGTAAATAATAAGAAAATGGTCTATTCAACTTATAAGACTAAATTTACAGCACAAATATTGCTCTCTGATCAACGATATTAACACTAGAAAGACTGAAACTTAGTATATTGTACCTATATTGCCCAAAAGCAGTCAAAATAACTGGACTGTAAAAGAATAAATAATGTGTAAAGAAATTTGTTTAAAATTAATTTTTAATATTTTTTATATTATTTACAATTATATAACAAGTTATTAGTAAATATTAACAATAAAAAAATTATATGTTGTCCAAATTTCTAAGAAATTACGTCATTATATACATCATTGTTTTTCTAATTGAAGACACTTTTGGAAGAACCGGTTCAACGCTTAACTACCATAATTTGAGCCACGATAACGCGCAAATATCCTGAAACCTTATTGATGCGTTAATCTAAACCGTATTCTCCTTCTATTTGAGCCATAGTATGGTTTTAGCAAGTTTAAGACAGAATTATTTCCACAATGGTTAAGTACAACTTGCTACCATATTAAGCTTACAATTTGAATGTCAATGTTGTTTAATACAATCCAAAATTTTTAACACAGTCTATGAGTATGGTTAACAACTTAACAATTATTATACAAGAATTTGAAATTAGTCCACCAATATGGAAACTTTAAATCATGATTTAATTAGATTTGATTGGGGTAATTATGACCATGGGGTAGATGTGACCAGTGGTATTTTTTAAAAAAAACTTAATCAATACTAAGAATTTTAAAAAATATGTTTTATAATGTTTTAAGTGTACATTTTGTTTCGAGAATTTTAAAATACTTTTTAGATAAAAATATTGTCATTATTCAAATGATTCTAAAAAACTATCGAATTCTTTGAAAAATAGTTTCGGCACATGTTGATTCAAAGTGATTTTAACGGTCGGAGAGGTTTTGTGCAAGTGTCAATCGATTGATAGCCTAAGCCCAATTATATTTTCTTCCACTTTTGATTATTATTTTCCGCTTGTATTAAAGTTCATTACCCGAAAGTATATATGATCAAAATTACATCATTGTTTTTTTACCAGTACGATGTAATTATGACCCTATTTCATATTAATTCAAAATTGGCGACATTTCGTCTTTTTTTTTGTACAGAAACGTACACAAAAAAGAGTATCATTCTCTTTACTCTCTAAAAAAACCTGCAAGAAGCTTTTGTGATGGTAAAAGGGATGAGACTGAATCTGTTGCAAATTAGAAGAGAAATTATTTCAGAAAAGCCACGACGATGGCCGCTTTGAACAGGAACTGGAAGAATAGAAACTTGTAGATTTTTTATTTACAAAAACCAAGTTTGGTTATCCTCTTAACCAGCAAGAACTTTTGCCTCTTATGGAATCTTACGTAAAAGAATAGTAAATATTACATTTCTAATTCGAATATTTTTAACGACGGTGAGCCAAAGAACAACTGGTCTGTGAGCTTAATAAAAAGACACCTTTGTTTTCTTGAAGATTGTGCCTAGCAAACACAATTTTGAAATCGTGTTAAGATTTTACGAAAATCTGTTACAAAGAATAAAAATAGACATCGTCAGATTAACCTTTAATCACGATCCCACCCATGTGCATGGGATAATTGAGAAGGGGTAAGTACTGACCGTGAGTCAAGAACAGTTCTAGAATATTTATCGGCTGATTCTGACCCCATATGTAGTCAGAATTACTCAAAATTTTCGAGTTTTGAGAAATTTAATGGGACCAACTCCTTACTATCCCTTTGACCATCCCTTCAGATCTTCAATCTATGACTTTAGGAGCATAAATACGTTACTTAGAAGTTTGATTACATTTTTTTTTTCAAATTTCTTAAAGAATCAAAATATTATCCTGTACTATTGAAATATTAATTTTAATTTTTTAAGGCGACAAATTATTGTTCGAAATGAAAAAAATTCAAAAGTGGTCATAGTTCCCCCATTTGACCCTGACCTCTGTGGATATTTATGACAACAATATTAACCAGGGCCGGGATAGCCTGGTCGGTAGGGCGCTGGGCCCATATCCAAGAGGTCGTGGGTTCGATCCTCGCCGGCCGAAGACTCCCCGTGTAGTAAATGGTGACTGATGCACGTTAAATCTGTCGAGTCTCAAAGTCCTCCATGTTCCCACAACAAATCAATACCTCTGGGGGTACTGATCCAGGAGTTTCCTTGTCTTCTGGATTGGTTCAAAATTACAAGGCTACGGAGTTAAACGTAAGTAGTCGTAAACCCATGAAATTGGGTCGGCTGTTCAACGACGGTTATTTTATAAAATAAAATAAAAACAATATTAACCAGGAAAAGCCAAAAACAAAACTCTACAATTCCGTCTTGTTAACTCGGATTGATATCAAAAACATATCTGTAGTCTCAGTAGACTCAGTTTCAATAGCTTAATCGACGATTGGTAATATAAATAAATAGAAGATATTTCTTGGGATAAATCTTGGCAATTTCAATTTTTGACGTATTTTAGGTTTTATGCTTGACCAGTAGATGAATTCAAATGTTTAATACTCCATCAATTTTTTTCTTTGATTGCTGCTCCCTCCCTCATAATTTATCTATTTATTTTTAAAAAAAGATATGTAAAAATATTTTTTTTTAAATCATAAACTGTACATTTTTTTAAGCAGAAACCATGATTCTTATTAATTGATATAAATTTTTTTTCCAATGCCCACCTGTGTTAACATTTCGTCAATTCAAGCATTTACAGGTCCCGCAGTAAACTGATCGTTAAGACAGCGTTCCCAGCAGGTCACCGAAGTCAAGCATCATTGGCTGCGGTCAGTGTGCGGGTGGGTGACCACCTAGATTAAGGACCGAGGGTGTGTGAAATTGGTCCTCGTTAGACTGTTCCACCGAAAAGTGCTCGACTTCGCTTGCAGGTCGTCAGGCTACCGAAGCGGGGGTTCCATCCTCTCTGCAGAGGATCAAAATTGTGATATCATGTCTTCGAATCATCTTCAGGGATATTTCCCAGACCGTTGCCAATAGCCCATTGTGCGACGCAAATGAACTAC